GACAGGCCTCTCCAGACAACTGAACCTTGATCTTGGACTTCCCAGCCTCCAAAACTGTAAGAAATTAGTTTCTAGTTTTTAGAAGTTACCCAGTCTTAATTATTTTGTTATAGCAGCCCACAATAGACTAAGAAAGAAAAATAGGTGAGACCCGGGATTTTTAGGGGAGTGAAAACACTCTGAGTGATACTGCAGCAGAGGAGACATGTCACTGCACAATGTAAACCCAAGAGTGAACCCAAAGTAAACTGGACTTTGGACAACCATGATGGGCCAATGTAGGTTCATCACTTACAACATATCAACTACTGTGGTGGAGAATGCTGAAAATGGGGGAGTTTTGCATGTGTGGGGGCAGAGGGTGTAGGGGAAATCTCTGTACCTTCTGTTCAATTTTGCTGTGAACCCAAAATTGCTCTAAATGAAGTTTTTCATAAATAAAAAAGTAAGACGATGTAATTCTTATATTTACAGATGAGAAGCCAGATGCCCGAACAAGTGCTAAGTCATAGCAAGGCCACACAGCAAGTTGACTGGCAAGGCTGGGACTAATACACAGCATCCTGACCCCAACCAGTGCCCCCCAAAGAGCGGGCTGCTGCGTGTGTCTACCACCATCCGTGAGCCTCTGCTCAACTCCCCCATTTCAGCCTCCTCCACCGGAGTGGTTCCTACATTGTAAGTGATGAACCTACATTGACACATCATTGTTGCCCAAAGTCCACAGTTTACTTTGGGTTCACTCTTGGGTTTACATTGTGCATTACCTGGCTTGGAGGGGCAAGGGAGGCCAGAGGACAGGGTTTGATTTGTCAGACCCCCCCCCTTGTTCTATAGTTTACCCTCTGCCACCACCTCCTCAGGGTGTCCTCCTAAACACTATTTCTTAGCAAAACCCACAAGTGTTGAAAGGGCAAGACCAGGCCATGCCACACAATCCCAAGCCCTAGCCAAGGAGCCATCCTAGTGTCTCTGAGTCCTGGGTATTTGTCCAGGAGCTTCAGGAACCCAAACAGTGCAAGGTCTTTGGAGAAGGTATGGGACTTGGTGCATATTCTTAACACAGTTGGTAATGACTCCTAGTTTTATGTGCAATGAGTACTTATTACAGAATTATCATAAGGTAGATTTATTGGAGGTATGAAGTACCCGAGTTTTGTGAAAAATAATTACTCCCATCAAGTTGATATAATTACTTGCACTAGTTTGCCAGGGCTGCTATCCAATTTTATTTATAGGCAATTATTTTGGTATGGTTTAAACTACTCCCAGAGCATAATCAGTCTGCTTTGTTTTCAGGCCACTCTTCTGCTGCCCCAGCTGGGCCTGGACCAGGAACTTGCCGTGTAGTCACTGTAAGTGGCCCTCTCTGGATGCTGAACTGACTGCGGTCCCAGAAGGTAGGGCTGGTCTGTGCAGCCCTCACACTTCTGCCTGGAGAAGGGAGTGGGCACGGATCATTACTGTCAGGGGGCTTCCCTGCCTGTGCTTCTCTTAAAGAAATCACTGTTCTCTGGGACACGGGATCTTAGGGAGAAATTGCTTGTGAAGATTTTGCAGGGAAAAATAAGAGTTACAACACAAAAGAGGTCTTGGAATTATGTAGAACTATGTTCTCATTCTCATTCCAGTTCTACTGCTTATTATGCAGGTAACCTTAACTTATTGGGTGTTGGTTTCTGTTTCTATAAAGAGGAGATATCTAACTTGGAGAGATGTTGAGAGAATCACACGGGTGACGTAAACCAGCCAGCTCAGAGTCTGGCACCAGCAGATGAACGATGAAATATTATTAGCAGGTGAAGGACAGTGTTGGGAGAGGTTAATCTTCTTAAGTGCCAGGGCTGGAGGGAGCCCTCCCTCACACAGCCCTGAGAGGGAGCAGCCTATGGCAATCTTGAGCTCAGAGCGGCCACATTCTGTCACAAGACCATTCCTTCCTGGACACAGCTGAGAGGGTTGTGGTAGGCACCTGACCCGAGGGCACTGATGTGTAGCCAGAGCAGCTGTTCTGTGAGATGGCCTCGTTCAAAAAGTTAGTCCAAAGCAGAGAGATGGGTGATTCGCTGAGCTAATCAGATTCTTTGTGAATGATCCATGAGGGACAGAAGCAAGCAGGCATCCAAGGAGAAGCGTGTGAGCGCACACACACACACACACACACACACACAGAACCCAGCTCTAGCTAAGGCAAAGCGCACACGGAGCACAGGACACTGAGCTCCTTCTGCAGAGTGCACTGAACCCACAATGGGCTCCCTGGACAGGAACGTCCTTCCAGGTGCAGAGCTGCGTCCCAGGGCTGTGTGGCTGTGCCTGGTTCACCTGTGCTTCCTGCATTCCCTCCACAACCCTCATCACCTGAGAAAACTTGGGTGGGTCTCTGCTTCTTGTAAGCAAAAGCCAGCAGAGCACCAGAGGCGGCTGGCATGGCGCCCCAACCTCTGATGGGGCACACAGGAAACTGGACCCCAGAGGATCCCAGGGTCACTCACTGAACCGGAGACTGGAAATCAGGTCACCTGACTGTTAGTTATGCAGAAGCAGGAGGCAAATTTGAGTTCATTTGAAGGGGAGGAGTAGCAAAAGCTGTCCCTGCTGGCGACTGACCCAGCAGCGCGCGATGCTGTATGTACAGTGTGTCTTCCTCCCTCCCCTTCACCAACAGACTGTTTGCAGCGACTTCTTTCCTGGCAGATCACCCTGGTCACACTGACTTCACCCCTCAGCAGCAGCCACACCCCGGGCTGTGTGGATGCCGCACAGCAGTTTTTGTCACATCCACATGCTGCTCTGGGTGTGGCTGCGCTTGTGGGTGCACAGGGGAACCCCCACGTCTACTCAAAATCCACAAGGTCCTGAAGGGCTGGCCACCAGACGCCTGCGTACTGTCCCTGGTGAGTGCTTGGGACTTTCGCGGAGAGCTCGGTGGTGCCCACAAAACCTTCCAGGTATCCCCACGGCAACCCTCATCTCTCTCCAGGATACTTTCAAACCTTTATAAGTCTTTCAAGAACCCTCTTCTGGCCACTTCTTGCCTCCTTCTCAACAAGCGATCCTAACTTTTACTTCATTAGTGAACAGAGGTCACTCCACGGAATGTCTAAGTGTTCTGCCCGCGGCTGCAGGTCAGCCTTAGCGTCCAGCACTTTCCTTCCTCCTTCTACCAAGAAATGGGAGACATCCCAGCCTCGGGGACCCTAATCAGCGCTGCCTTTTCCTCTTTCCTTAAACACCCATAAAGGCCTGTGATACTGGGGACTATTTCCAAATTCCTGAGAGACATCAGTCTTTGGGAGTCAGGAACAACAACAACAAAAAAAAAAAATGGAATTTCTGGGAATTCTCAGGAATGACTAAAATCATAAGTCACTTTAAGAATATGTTCCAAGTTTCTTCACAGTCTTTCTCATCACCATGGGCATATACAGTTTTTATTTAGTAAGCAGGAAACATTACGTTTGGTAGCTTTGTAAAATACTTGTGCTTGGTAATATTTATAAAGCTCTTGGGTAGTTTTGTGAAAAGCCATAGTTTATTGCAAATATTCAAACATTGGAACTACCAGTGAATATCTGTGGGTAGTACTGGAATAATGTAGCACCTGATCTCCTGGCAAGGTTAACAGCAGCTAACAGAATCATGGAAATTGCCACGTTAATTACTAACTGGGTTGTCAAAACTTTTTCTTTCTCTGAGTACCACTTATAGAATTTGTATAATGTTTACTATCCATATAAACACACTAATATTTATTATATTTGAAGGAACAGCTCACTATTGAACACACATTTGTAACAAGGCACTACCCACAAGCATGACTGACCATTGAGACTGTGGCCACTTCTGTCCTGCATGCTCTTATCTCATTTCTTAGGAATGTTGACGTTAGCCTTCAACCCCGTGTGTCAGTTTTTCTTGCTCTTACTTTTGACTTGACATCAGTGGATGCCTTTGGCCAGTAATGTCTCTGTTCTAATTGGTGATCTATAATTCTCAGAAAATAATTACAGTCTGTTTCCCCATATTCCCTATTTCTTGGCTGATTTTTCTTGGTATTTGTGTTTTGGAAAATATAAATTTCCTGAGATATGCAGGGGAGGAATTCCTGCATGGAAACATAATATCGAGCATGTGCTAGATGCCACAGTTGTGACTAAGGACACAGGTTTGGGGATCCTGAGTTGCAAGTCTAGTCACTACTTGCGAGCTGCCTGACCCTGGGAAAATTATACAACGTCTTCAAGTGTAAGTTTTCTAATGAGTAAACTTACCACATTGTTGTTTTGTGGTTAAATGTGTGGTCTTGTAGAAAAAATGAATCGTTAAATATGTGTGTGAAGCTCTTAGCACAATCTCTGGCACATATGCAGTAATATACATTGTAACCATCAAGACACAAACCCTGATGTAGGAATGGATAATCTCATGCTGCCACAGATGTATGTTTAAATGTTCTGATAGCCACATTAGGGAATATAAAAATAAAGAGATAAAATTAATTTTAGCAATACACTTAACATAGTATACCCAAAATACTATCATTTGAGCATATACTCAATATAAAAATTATTAATCAGATGCTTTACATTTTTTGATATCAAGTCATCAAAATCCAGTGTGTATTATACACTTAAACAGCACTTCTGAATGTAAGCACTAAATTTTCACTGCTAATATTTGATCTGTAATTAGATTTCATAAAGGCTACAGAGATTGACATACTCAAGTGGTTCCAAATACACTTCAATGTTTTCCAGTAATGGCAATGAGTATCAAAAAGTTATTTTTTCATAATACTTAACATTCATATCAACAAAACTGGTTCATCTTTTTTGAAAAAGTCAAACTTGGAAGCGAAGAGCTTGTTAATTTCAAAATTACTTCTGTTGAGTAAATTGACTCTAACTTCTGAGTCAACTTAGTATTACTAGCATAGAATTCAAAGACATACTTTGTAAATTGAAAAGTAACTAGATTTGCCAGCAAGGCATCCCTCAAATTTGCTTATAGTTTTTTGCAGTCGATTTGAATAGTGTTGTCAATTTCAATTAAATAGGGCTATCACTTTCAATTAAATTTTTCTGTATATTTATTCATGTTAGAAAATGTGCACAATCATTGCTATTGATGTTTATTACAATAAGTTTTAATTTCAGCATACATTTTTATACCTGAACAGCTAAATCACAAATAAACTTTTCCTTTCCTGGGAATTTCAAATTCAGCTCATTCAGATCCCATTTTTTGTCTTTGATAATTTAACATCCCGCAGCATTCCTTTCTGTCCAAGAAAATCTTGAATTGGAGTTAGTGCGGCAAATCTTCGTACAATCTTCTACCGTCTAATCAATGAACATTGGCAAAGAATACAAAGTTATTACTACATTTATTGTAATTTTTCAACATTTCCATAAACTGGAAATAATTTACACATCTACGTGTATGTACGGAATGATTAGAACAGGGATGTCTAAGACACTTTACCTTGACTCTTAAAAAGCTAAGAAAAATTATTTTTATAAACAGATACATCAGCCTCTTGTTCTAGTATTCCAAGTCTGGATTTTTAATCTACTATAGTTGGAACACTATCCATAAGAATAGATTTTCCTGCCTAGCTGAAACTCTTATTTGACATCTAAAAGACTGAAAAATATCCATGCCAGGGAGTTTGGCTTTGTAGGCCTTAAGGTAACAGTTCTTTGTCAAATTAGAAGTCTTTTGAGACAAACTGTCTACAAAATATGAATTGGGCAATATGTTTGATGATGTATCACTCACCTAAAGCTAAATAAAAGTACGAGGTACTTCCAAATTTTTAAATGTTGAATCAATTGATTTTTCATGTTTTTAAAAGGTCTTGTACTCTATATGCAATTGTTTGGTGGCTTAATTGAAGATCTCTCATAATCTATAATATATTTTTTCAATATTTATAATTTTCTAACAAAATTTTCCTAACTTAAATAGGAGCCTTTTTCCCCCATCATTGCTCTACCTAAAATTGTTGTTTATCTTTTTAAAGGAATCTGAGCCATTTTATAATTGGCTATAATTACTAGTTCAGACAATGTTAAAAATAGTTTAAATTTTTTGTTGCATGTTTAATTCTGATTTCCAGTGACTAATTTCATTGATTTTTTTTCAATTGTTGAGAGGAAATTTCTTATCAAATTCACTGTGTATCTGATGAGAATGTCTTTATCCATGTCTACTGTATTATCTTTAAAAATGTTTTACACACCAAACAGCAAATTACAATAGCTGTTCTCTGACTCTGTCACCATCTTTCATTTCTGCCTCTTTGTTGATGTTGATTTCTTTCTTTTAAACCATATTACTCCACTTATGAAAGAGCATGGCCACTGGAAACTCACTTTTAGAAGAAAAAAAAAAAAAGACTTTTCTCTTCCAATTATAAAAATTCCAAGGAAGGATCCTGATTGGCTTGCTTGGACCACACATCCATCCTTGCACCATTCACAAGGTGAGGAAGAGTAGATGCTTTGACTGGTCTATATGTGTCATATGCCTATTCTCAAGGCCAATGGGTGGGGTCTGCCACCAGAAGAGATGGAAGCCTGGAGGGCTGGCCCCTAATCCACTCTGGAAAGTGGAAGGAGAGTCCGAGAAGAGCTCTTGGAAAAGGTGATCTTTTAGCTGAGTCTTCAATAATGAATTAGAGATATCAAGTCCAAGTGGGGTGAAGGGGAAAGGACTAGGCAAAAGGCATTCCAGGGAGAGGGGAAACATGAGAAAGAGCATTGGGGCAAGAGCTGGCATGACGTGGGGAATAAGCACCCATACTAGACTTCAAGGTACTAGACTGTAGCATTTTGAAGGCCGGGACCACACCTTATCCATCCTCATCTCTACCCACCTGCTTGGTCTATACAAGGTGCGCCCTGTGTGTCTGTTGAATGAATAAATGGATGATAAACAGCAATATTCCATGAGGTGACCAGCCCCAGGGAGGGGTCTGAAGTGACTCCTCCATGTCCTCTGAGTGCACAAGCTGGAGCTCACTGAGTATCAGAAAATAACTTGTTTCTTATTTTTCCAGAGAAGTAAAAATAATTACAAAAACTCCCCTGGGAGGCTTGGCTATCAAGGCTCTTGTTTGCTCTCATCAAGCCTTGCTATTCAACTGCACTATAGGAGATTAGGTCAGACCTTCATTTTGAGAGTAAGTCCTCATACACTTTGTAATGCCAAGCTACTTAAATAAATACAAGTGTGAGCCACTTAAATTAATTCCAGATACTAAAGTCTCAATTAATAACACACAACTGAGATATATTTAACATTTTAACATTTTAATCAAAGTTTCATAAGCACATAGCTTAGAGAGTCAAATAGCTCTACTTCCCAAGCAGTTCCTACTCCTGCCCCATTTCTCATTATCCTGGGACAATCATTTTCTAATCTTTCAAATGATTCCTTTGGTATTTCCTTCATAAATGCTCATATTGTTCCTTAGTGATTTTGTGGTTTGGGCATCATCTAGTGACTCCCCACTGTGGAAGGGGAGGTTCTAGCGCCATCTTCTACCCCTTTACCACTCCCACCCAGACACACATCCCTGAAGATGCATTTCCGGCTCCCCCGCCCTCCTGATGTGGTTATGCAGGGTAGTTTGGATCAGATCTATATTCCTTGGTTACTTTGTTCCCATTTTGCCAATGCATTCCATTTATTGCCCAGCCATGTTGAATATTACCATGCCTTTTCCTACTTCCACAGCTTTCTGTTCTTCAATACAAAATCAGGATCTTGCTTGGCTTTCCCAATGGCAACCTTAGACGGTAGCTTTCCCAGGTCTGCTAAGCCAGATACCTCTCTTCCATCTACTTTTTAGCTTCAAAACTTGGTTGTTGATGATGCCTTTCCCACTCTTTGTCCTTGTAACATTATGACTTTTGTTTAATTTCTCATTACTTTTTAAATGACATTTAGAGATGGAGAGGAGATTAATTAACATGTATGTTCAAGACATCATTTTAACCTGAAGTTCTGTTCATTTTTTATTTTAAAAAATTTTCAGGCTCAGCACCTGTAACTCAGTGGTTAGGGAACTGGCCACATATACCGGGGCTGGTGGGTTTGAACCCGGCCCAGGCCTGCTAAACAATGACAACTACAACAACAAAAAAAAATAGCTGGATGTTGTGGTAGGTGCCTGTAGTCCCGGCTGCTTGGGAGGCTGAGGCAAGAAAATCGCTTAAGCCCAAAAGTTTGAAGTTGTGAGTTGTGATGTCATAGCACTCTACTGAGGGTGACATAGTGAAACTCTATCTCAAAATGAAATTATTTTTTTCACTAAATAGTTCTTCTGCTTTCTTTCTTTCTTTCTTTCTTTTTTGAGTCAGAGTCTTACTGAACAGCCCTTGGTAGGGCACCCCTGGGTAGAGTGCCATGGTGTCATCATAGCTCGCAGTAATCTCAAACTCTTGGGCTTAAGTGATCTTCTTGCCTCACCCTCTCAAGTAGCTGGGACTACAGGTGCCTATCATGACGTCCAGCTAGTTTTTTCTATTTTTAGTAGAGATGGAGTCTCACTCTTGCTCAGGCTGGTCTCAAACTCCTGAGCTCAAGTGATCCACCTACCTCAGCCTCCCAGAGTGTTGGGATTATAGGCGTGAACCACTGCACCTGGCCAAATAGTTCTCAATAGCAAGCTTCTCTGTGGCATTAAAAGTAATATTGGAAAAAATGTTAAAAAAAATAAAAGTAATATCTAGTTAGCCAGTTCATATTTCAAAATCTTCAGAAACCATCATTTTTTTAGGGTAAGCAAGGTAATCCCCTGTGATGATAGAGATCATTTATTACCGGGAAAACGGCAGGGCTGCTCTTATTATAACATTCAGATTTTTATCTTTTAAAAAATTTGTATTTCCATGAGCATTAAAGGCTTGATATAGGAATGAAGAAATGGCATTTGTTTCAGAAATATACTTGGAAATGGATGGTGTTTCTGGCCATGGTGGCTGGCTCTCCAAGGGGACCGGCCTAAGCCAGTGATGGCTATAGGAATAAGCAAGTGACCCAAGTTCATAAAAGGATTGACTGGAAGTCTGCTGGGAGTCTTCCAGGAGAGCTTTTCTTACTTATAAAAAAGAGACCAAAAAAAAGAGAGAGAGAGGAGAGAAAGCGCTTCTGTCGTTTGTCTGGATGTTATTTCTGGATTCTACACCTGGGGCTGCTGCAGACACCTGGTAGACGGTCTTAGGGTCCAAACAAAATTGAGGACAGCAGGGTGGAAGAATAAAAACAAAAAAACCCCCAGAGTCCTTGATGACTTTATTGATCTGCCGATTGATCCGAGCTTGGGTTTTTCCTTCCCCTGAACTTCCAGTTATGGGAGATACTATACATCATTATTCTTAAGCCGATTTGAGGGGAGGTCTTCTATTATCTGCAGCTAAAAGCATCCTAACTCCATATAATGCCACATTCTTAGTCAGGAAAGCATTTATTTTTCAAAAATCATTCAGAGCTGTGTATGGTGGCTTATACCTGTAAGTTAAGCACTTGGGGAGGCTGAGGTGGGAGGATCACCTGAGGCCAAGCCTGGGCAGTATAGTGAGATCCCATCTCTACAAGAAAAACACACACAAAAAGTAGCCAGGCATGTGTGGCATATGCCTATGATCCCAGCTACTTGGGAGTCTGAGGTGAGAAGATTGTTTGAGCCCAGAAATTTGAGGTTACAGTGAGCTATGATCATGCCACTTTACTTTAGCCTGGGTGACAGAGTAAGACCCTGTCTCAAAAAAAAAAAAAAATTATACAAAACTTTGACATGACAGTAGGTTCAAGAGGAATGAGTCTGATATCTGTACAGATATGCATAAACCTATAACTTATATTCAGGTGGACCTGAAGGTTACTTTTTGAATCAGCATTTATTGTGTTATTCTGACTCTCCTTTTCTATCTAACAAAATTCTGGGTTTTCCCCCCAGTTTACTTGAGTTCTAGTAAATACAAAATAAAGTAAAAAATGAATTGCAATAATATAAACCTTCAAAAGTAGTTGGAATAGATGATTCTATTCTTTTTAAATGTTTGTATCAAGTCCTTTTGAGATTCTTCTTTGAAGAGGGTTTTTTCTTTTCTGCAGATTTTTCCAAAAATTATTACCTGAGCTTTAAGACTACAAATTATTACCTAAAACAGAATTCTTTTCTAAGGGGAGACATGCGCATACTTAAGAGAAGAGTCTTATCTTGATGTACTTAACATCATTAAAAATAATAATTTAATAAGCATAAAACCAATATTCAATTATTTATTATAAAGTAAAAATGATATTAAAAATAATTACAGATGAGTTTTCTTTGGGCAAAAGAAAACAGAGACAAGAGAAAAGCAGATCAGAAAAACCCAAAATCTATTACAAAGTACAACAGCCTGAAAGTCAGGCGTTTCCAGGCAGACTATCTTGCTACAACTTCACCCCTCCCCCAACGCAACTCAGCTCAGAGGTCCCTAAACACTGAGAGACAAGACTGGGGAGGGGGGGAGGGTGGGAGGGGAGGGGGGGGGCTGCCCTCCCAGGGAGACAGAGTGCTTTTAAAAATACAGAACTCACTAGAGATAAGACCAACTTCTAAACCTCATAAAGAGAAAAAAAAAATCTCTCAAGAAAAAATAATGATTAAAAAAAACCTCCTTTCTTCTGTCATCTCAATGTGGACAAAAATGCCAACTCTTCTAAACACAAGATTTCTCAAAAATAAATTACCACTCCTAAAATTTGTGTACATGGTCTAATTAAGGTCTACTTTGACATCCTACTTCTAGACTGTATTCCCTGTCCCATATTCTATGTTAAAATCATAACTTATAATAATAAATAAATAAACCTAATTAACATCATTCATTAAAAAGTAGTTTAGTTAAAAAAAATACAAGCCCAACAAGAACCATAACATAAACATTTAGCCTTCCCTCATTAAATTAATGACTAAAATAATGATGTATATACTAAAAACAGAACTAGCCCAGAGCGAGAGACTTCCACTGGTCCTCACACTTATAGGTGGATGGTCACCCCAACCCAGCTCTTTAAAAAACTTTCTCTTTGTGCCTTGACTATTCATTTGCCCTCATCCTCTTATCTCCACCAGTCACGAAAAAAAAAAAAACCTCATCATATAATTTAGAGCTGGTTCTCAACACTTTTTTCATCTCTTTTAATAGGAAGATTTAGCAGAAAATACCTAGGATGGCAGTGGTATAGTTTGAGGCAAAAGTTAGGTGAGCAAATGTCTTGACATTAATACCATGAGCTTTCTATCATACAGTGGTTAAGAGCACAACCTTTGAGGATTGAGAGAGTGGATTCTAGTTCTGGCTTTACCATTTACTGTCTGTGTGTCTGTGGATAAGTTAATTAACCTCTCTGGGCTTCCAATTAATCATCTGTAAAATGAGGATAATAATGGTATCTACTTCACAGGTAGATGAGAAGAGTAAATGAAGAAATATGTGTTTAAAAAGAGAGAGAGACTAAGCTGGACATGCTGTCTCATGCCTATAATCCTAGCTCTTTGGAAGGCTGGTGTGGGAGGATCACTTCAGGTCAGGAATTTGAGATCAGGCTGGGCAACATAGCAAGACTCCATCTTTAAAAAATATTTAAAATTAGCTGGGTGTGGTGGCCCACACATGTAGTCCAAGCTATTTGAGAGGTTGAAGTGGGAGGATTGCTTGAGCCCAGAAATTTGAGGCTGAAGTGAGCTGTGGTCACCCCACTGCACTCTAGCATGGGTGACAGAATGAGATCTTTCCTCAAAAAAAAAAAAATGAGAGAGACATAGCACGGTGCCAAGTATATTGCAAATACGCATAAAAACTTGGCTGTTGTTATCAGCCTTATTCTATTGGCCACCCATGTGAACATACTCTGGAAATGCTCTCCCTTCATCAGTATATGTGGCACAGACACACAGCTGGTTATGTCAAAGAAGGCAATACCGGGAGCTCCCCTTCACCCTCCACTGGACACTTCCTCCTCCCCACTTTTCTAATCCTCCCTAGCATCCACCATCATTTTCTCTTCCTGGCCCCTTGGTCTTGCCCTAAGCCCTGTGATAAGTTTCACATGTGTTGGTTTAGATCTATTTGTTTTTCCCCTGCCAGAGGACTTGGGCTCCTTCCCACTCTGAGGCCATCTCCTGCTCCGTTCAAGAAATGCATCTCTACACCATTCGTAGTCTTGTTAACAAAGTCCCTCAAACAATTCTAGACAAAGGGGGAGGGGGAAACAAGTCTTTTCTTAACATTAGAAGCTGGAGAAGGAGGTTGGGAGTTCCTGGAGGGGCAGGAAATCCTTGACACCCCCTTTAGTGGGCCCCAGTACTGGGAGGGCACAGGAGATGAGACACACACCAATGACCGGCACTCAGCCTAGAAATCAGGCCTTGTGAGGGTGCAGTGCGGACAAGAAAGAGGATTTCTGAGTTTGTGAGTCAGGAAAAGCTTCTTAGCAGAGGCATGACTTTTGTGCCACATGAAAGGATGGGGAGACTTAGACATGGAGAGCATGGCACAGTCACTGACATGTGGACATACCAGGCTATGGTCACTCATACACTCCTTCATTCATCCATTTAGTCACCTCTGAGCTTTTTGTCCGCCTCTTCATGTAACCTGGGATTGCTGGAGTCCACACCTCCTGCTGTCACTTTGGGTGAGTATCCCTCTTATGTAGCTGTCCACCGTGTGTATATTAATGCAAGATTAGACTCCTGAAGTTCCAGAATCTGTGAGCATTCCTTTCCCCAGGGCTGTTCTTTTGCTTATGGGAAGGCAGGAGGAGGCTTGGTCAGCTTCAAGGTCCAGGTCAAGAACCACCTAGTATTAGAAGAACAGGAGTTGGGCTTCTACTTACCAGCTTCTCTGTGCAGGCCCAGGTGGCTTCCCCTACACGCTGCCATCTCAGTGACATCTTCACAGTGGCTGTTGCCCTGCATGAACTGTGTGCTTTGTGAAGCAAACACTGGAGCTGGTTTCCAGTCTCTCCTCCATGCCAGAGCTCCGCTGCTCCTGATGGGGGCAGCCACCAGAATTTCTAGTTCATAGCCCATTTGCAGAGTGGTGACACTGCTGGGTCCTAAGTTCACTGCAAGATCTGGCCATTTCGGGTGTCCAGCCAACTGCTTCCTGAGGATGTGCTATGGTGACTCACAACCAGCCCCCATGGGAGAATAATCCATAATCTACTTGCCAAAATTTAACAATAGAAGCAACATTTTAATCATCTCCTAGGAGTGCTGAACGTCACTGCCTCCAGGGGAAGAGGTGGTGTTCCACCCAGCTGCATCCTACGTGGGTCTTCCTTCCTCTCAGGTGGGTGGCAGGGCAGGCAGGATGAGGCAGAGGTGTGGGTGAAAGGTGGTGTCACTTTTTTCACAGTTAGAGAACTTGATGCTGCAGTTTGTGTGATCCTCTGAGCCTCCAGGCCCTTGTGTATAAAATGAGGGATCAGAATGCATGATGACTGCAGGTCTCCTTGTAGCTCAGAGGCTCCAGGGTTCTGAACCCAGAACCCTAAAAGGAGAGGTAATTCTTCCAGTATTATTTTCCCAACAACTATAGTCAAAGCAGCACTTATTTGCTGACCTCAGCAGCTAAACTTCTCATATTTGCTAGTCATTTTTAATTATCACAAACTCACATCAGGAATTGGAATTTCTGGGAAAAGAAGACCCAGCTGAACTTGCATCCTCTGCAGGACACTTGCCTTCATGCAGTGTGCTTGTCACCAAGGCAGCAGGGCTTGAAGATGATGGTGGAATGCAAGGATGGCTAGAGAAGCCACAGAAACCCAGGGTGGGGTGTTACACTAATGGCCTGGCACCTCAAGAGGTGACACTCTGGATCAGCATCTCCAGTGTCAACTTCCCTCCACAGCTCCACTCCAATACCTGTGGGTGTCTCAGACTCAAAGCTGAATTCATCGTTACACCCCATATAAACCTGTGCCTCCTCCTGTACTTGCTACTTTAATGCCACCATAGGAGTCACTTGCTGTCTTTTTCTTTTTTTTCTTCCTATAATCCGAACCTTTCTCTATTTGTAGGAAATCCCAGTAAGTATGAGTCTGAAGGGGGCCAAATATTTCTACACCTGCCTCCTAGTGACTGGAACATGTGCACATGAGGTAGCCATGGCCATTCAGACCCTGCAGATGGAAGTTTGGTTCTTGAGAGTGACACAAAGGCTAGAGGTCATTCACAGCAGCAGAAGAGGTGGGCAGGTGCAGCAAGTATGCAGGGGTGGGGATGCTTTGCCTGTCTCTTGACTAGGCTGTTCTTGTGGAGTGACCCTGGTCCCAGTCTCCCTGGGTTCCTACCTATTTTCTGAGTTTTGTTTTTCCAGCCTTGCTGTTAGTGCAGTGAGAGTAATGCAGGATATAAATATCCAAGGAATTCCTTTTCTTCTTAGAGAGCCAGAGTTAGTTGCTGTTGTTTGCATCTGACTCCTGGCTGGTACCTTCACCCTTCCCCGGTCAGGAAACTGGGAATCCTTCTTGGTGTCCCTTTGTGACTCACGCACCACTGTTACTGAGCCCCCCAATCCTGCCCCATGATGCCATCTCTGTCATCCCACTGCCGCCTCCCACCAGAAGTCCATCACATCTGCCTATTCTTGCTGTCTCCTGTTGATGGTTCCTCTGGCCTCTGAGCTCTTCTTCACCAGGACCACCTACTTCTGGTCAAACCTCAGAATCAATCAGCCTATGACCTCCACTGAAGTTTTTGGCAGATGAGGAAAAGGATAAAACTAGAGAAAAGAAATGTGTTCAGTGATTCTGAGAAGTAAGAGAGTAGGCAGGTGTACAAAACATCGGTGTATAAGTCAAGTGCCACTGAGCCTGTCTGAAGGCCGGAGGTGGCCCGAGCTGCTCCCCCTTCAATGCCTCTTTCCCTTATTTTCTAAATTCACATCAATGAAAACATATTAATTACCCTTTAAATGGAAATAAATTAACTCAAGAAGATACAGTTTTATCTTGCTGTTAGAGTAGCCAAGTTCCCTGAGGATGCATTAATTGATTTTAAATCCAAATCAGCCTAATGCACTTGGGCACTTTGCCGGGTAATGGAAATTAGTGATGAGGACTCCTGTAAAGAAAAGGCTTTATGCCAACTCCTGTTTTTGCACTTTTTTCCACTGCGGATGAGGGCAAACCCAAGCATGGATGGAGAAGGCCCAGTAGAACCAAGCTTCTTATTTATTTAGTAAATATGTATTGAGGACCTACTTTATGCTGAGGACTGTGCAAGGCACTGGGGATCCAGTGATGAAAGAGATGGTCTTGGTGTCCACCTAATGAAGGTTACAGCTGAACACACTAAGATGCCTTTTAGGGCTTCCTGAAATCTCTATGCAGAACTCTCCCCTGCCCAGGTCTCACTGGAGTTGACTTTCACAGGTAGCCAGGCTCATGAGGGAACCGGTGGTGGGTCATCAGAAAGTCTCGTCTGGAAACCCAGGAGACTTGCAAGTGTGGACAGCTGCAAGCTGGGGCCAGCTTGGCTGGACTGGCTCCTCCCTCTCCCCAGGCTCTTCCTCCATACAAGACACAGCTTAGTGTACAGAATTAGTCCTAGAAAGTCAGTGGAGAGGGTCCCCAGTACCCTGTCCTTGGCATCTCCATTTAGGATTGCCAGATTTAGCAAATGCAAATATAAGACACTCAGTTAAATGTGAATTTCAGATAAAGAATGAATGCATTCTTTTTTTCATGTAAGCATGCAATATTTGGGGCTTATTTACATACCACTTGACTGCTGTCCAGCTTTTATCTGGTGATCCTACTACCCCACTCCCTCCCTAGTCACTCCCACTCCCTAGTTACTGAGCCCCAGTAACCCCATGGCAGCTCTGAAGCAGCATGTCCCCCAGAGCAGATGTGCAGAATCAACAAGCTCTCTTTCAAAATGCCCCTCTCCTGGGGAGTATTCAAGCAAGCTGTTTCCAGGAAAGAAATTCAATTCAGCCATGTTAGCTGAGCACTGACTCCAGGAGGATAAGCGGTAAGACAGACACAGTCACTACCGTAAGGAATCCAGAGGCTAGTAGGGCAAGCGGAGTAGGCTATTCAAATAGTTGTAATACAAGGTAGAAGACGAAAAATGACTAGGTGCCAAGAGAATGCAGGAGGATGAGATCATCCCACCTTGGCGTGTGGGAGGCCTGCGAGTGTCATGGAGGAGGGGCATTCACAATTGACTAGAGCCATGACAATCCATGAAACATGTGCCTTGCTGTTCCCCACAGCCCTAGTGCATGTCCTTGAGAGGTCATGTCACAGGTTGGATGTGGTCATCACAAAGCTCCCAGCAGTGCCCACAAATCAATCCCAGTTGGCACCCAAATGAAGCCTTGTGCGAACCTTGACCTAGAAGGGTGCCTAGTGCTCAAAAAGGACATTCCAGAAAGGACTTGCTGGGGGAGGGGGCAGCCAAAGCCTCTTCCAGTCATGAGGAAGCACCTGTGTGTTTGGAGAGCTCTGAGAAATCTCATGCAGCCAGAGTCGGGGGCTCCATGTGAGGTGTAGACAGGGAGACAGAGAGCCTAGGAACCGGGGAGCTGGCACTGTCATGTGGAAGCTAGTCTGGGCACCCGCTCTTCCTGGAAAATACGCTCTGCCTGGGTGCCATTTCTTCATCTGACACTCAGTGGACACTGGCTGTGCAGAATGAGGGAAAGCCAATCACATTCTCAGTAAATATTTAGCTCTCTGAGGTTTGTGAACAGATAACATTTCAGAGCCTCCTTTATGCTTGTACAGCACTTTAATAAGAGAGAAGGCTGGCTTCTTGCAGGGAGAAGAAAGGCTTCTCATTCACTGCTTCCTCATTAAGGAGAGGGAGCATTCTCCAGCCAGGCAAACATTTACCCCAGCAGTGGCTGAGCCCAGCCCTGATAATTCCCTGAAGGTGGCCAAGGAAGTAGCAAAGCAAATGTCCCACAGGGGCCCTGGAACTCGGGATAGAAGGATTCTTTGGTCTATCACAGCCCCTCAGGGATTATTCTGCACACTTAACACATTGTACCCAGACTGTCCCAGCATTGAAGGCTCTTGAGGCAGAAGAGCTGCCGTCTGGCTAATTAATGTTCCCCCGGCAAGCTGGGCAGACAGGCTCCAGCTGCCTCCAAGCCGGTCTATTAGCAGGGCCAGGCTCCCCATGCAGGGCAGTGTGTGGAGCTGTCAGGGAATGTTTCTGAGAAATTAAAGTGGCATTGCTAAGTGGGTACACATAACAGGAATGCGCCAGCCTGCCTGTCCCCTCCTCCTGCCTGCTGTAGAGCATGGCGGTTCTGAGGGAATAATGCATGAGGCTGTGCTGTGTACCTCCGGAAACTTAATTGAAGCTGGCTGCAAGGCGGAGCCAGTCTGTGCTCAGCTGCCGGCCAGGCAGGGGCAGGCTCCTGAGCCTCTCCTTGGGCCACTGCCCTGGTGGGATCCTGCCTCTTAGGCTCCTCTGGACCCTGGAAGAACAGTGTATAGGGGAGAAACCACTGGTGAGGCCAAGGCCAGAACTTTAGGGCCCCACCCTGCTCTGACTGGTGAAAGCTCTGCCCAGCAGGCCGGGCCTACTCCTGGCCTGGGTGCTCTCCTTTCCCCTGAGCTGTCCCCCTGGGTTCCGATTGCCCTGGATGCTTTCACCTTCTGCGGACCTCCATCAATGGGCTTTGGAGGCCTGAACTGTGTGCCGCCTGACCCTGTTTTCTCCAAACATTGGGGGCCTTGCTGGAAGGGCCCGGCACTGTGTCCCCCTCCTTCCTCCCTTCTTCTCCCCCCTCCCTCCCACCAGGAGGGCTGAGCTGGAAACCACAGGAAGGGGCTGGGCTGGTTTGGCTGCTGAGGGGAGAGCTGGAGTGAGGAAATCAGGAAACTCAGGCTGGATTCCAGCAGGGGTTGAAAAGATCCCCACCAGCCAGGGCATTTGATAAATAAGGCTCCAAAACCCCATGGTGGCAAGGGAATTGTTATTTTCATTAACCTCTAAAGCTTGGTTT